GAAAAATATCACTCGTCACCGGCTTGAGCTTCAGTCTCAGGATCCATGTATCTGTAATCCTCTCCAGAATGGAAGTAGTCATCACATACAGAGCATCAACTAGTTCCTGAACAGTGTCCTTCACATGCTGATATCCAAGAGAGGGAGTTCCACAGTCACAAGATGGAGGAATAGAAAGCAGTATTCAATGTTTACTTCAGATTAGCTCCACGTCAGAAATGATCATGCTTGTCATATGTCTCTCTCCATAGAGGCTGAATCATCATGTTAATCACATAGCTATCATATGCCTCAAACAGTCCTGATGCTCTTCTAGGTAATCACACATCCTGTCATGTTCCCAGCTACAGTTGGGATACCTTTGCTATATTGGAAGAGGACATTCAGTGTTTTCCCAAAGACTTGTTAACGTTGATTTCCTCCCGTTAGTTCCCATTAAATGTGCGAGGGCCCGGGAGTTGTTCTGCACGGTCCGGACCACAATTGCCGACCTCAAAACCAAATTTCCTATGGAGCAGTACTACAGGTAGGATCCCATCGGCACAGTATTTGCAGTTTGCTTCTCTCACAATCAATCAATTCACACTTTTGTTAGTGATTGGAAAGGCTATCATTCAAAAAAGTAAGTATAGTTTAAAATACAGGTAATCTGCAGCAATGCACTGAATATGTTTTTGTGAGTTCAGCAAACAAAACACTAATTCCTATGGATCTGAAGCATTTATCATTTTAAGAATTCCTTCCTTGGTATCCAGTGGAATTCACATCTTACTTAGTCAGCAACAAGCTTACAAGCTAAACATTATTCTCCTATAATCAAAAAACTGTTTTTGCGAGATGCAATTTAGAAAAGTCCAATATGTTGATCAGTAGGCTCTACTAAGGGTTTTATATATCTTTAATAGTGTTGCCATTTACAATATGTCTAATGCATTTACCCAGAAACCCCTGCAAAGTAGAATTGATGCTGAATTGAATATCGAGGCAAAATAAGGTGATATTAAAAAAAAAAACATAACTCTTGTTTTCCGACCTGTTTGATCCCACTTCAGGTTCCATGAGCACTGGCGGTTTGTCCTGCAGCGTTTGGTCTTCCTGGCGACCTTCGTCGTCTACCTGGAGACGGAGGCTCTTGTGATCCGGGAGGAAGTGGCTAAGATCCTCGGCAGTAAGTATATTTCAGTGTGTTAGTGTGTAGGTGTTACTGAGGGATGCTGCTTCACTCTCTCTCCTCCCTTTGCTCTCCACAGTTGAGGTGGTGCGAGAGAAAGGCTTCCACCTGGACGTGGAGGACTACCTGGCAGGAGTGCTGATCATGGCCAGTGAACTGGTGAGTGTGATGTTGATCTCTAATGTTCGTACTAGTAGTAGTAGTAGAACCTAGGGCTGTGCGATTAGGGCAAAAACCATAATCACGATTATTTTGGTCAATAATTGATATCACGGTTATTAAATACGATTATTCATTGACTTTGAAAAACATCAATTTATTGAACTTTAAAACAAATTAAAATAATAATTTGAACAGTATCTGTTTAACTGTTGATTAGCCTGAACGTAGAATTCGACTGAAAAACGAATAAATAAAAAAAAATGATATATTTATATTTAAATAAATAATATCAAAATAATAAATACCAATAAACAAGATCAACAAATATTTTTGGAGCGCACTTCAACAAGCTACTAAATATGATAAATAAATGCAAATATGTTGCAGTGCACTGTCACAACCTAGCAAAGCTAAATAATCTTTTTTTTCGATTATGTTGTTTTCGTAATTGTGGCAGGCTAAAATCGTAATTGTGATTAAAATACGATTAATTGCACAGCCCTAGTAGAACCTTTATTTAGCCAGGAAAATCAATTAAGAACAAATTCTTATTTTCAATGATGACCTGTCAGGAGGCAAAAAGCTTCCTGAGGGGATGGGGGTTGGGAGGAAGAAAATAAAAAGACAGACTCCGGGCACTACAGAACCCAGGAGACAACACATGACA